GGTTGAAGTAATCTGTGACGTATAAACTCTTTTGTTCTTTTGAAGTTCACTTAAAGGGAGTAAGGGAAATATTTATAGTAGATTATAGCGCCTGTTCGTTATATTCGGTGATTCGAGTAAACAAGAGCTTAGGGTTTTCTCAGTAAGAAATGATAATAACAGATCATCATCTATTAAACCGCTGCTACTTATAATGATGATCGAAAACTATTTATAGTATCAATAAATAACTTTTAGATGCTTATTATGCGGTTAGCATTCACATCTACTCTAGAAATTACGTTAGCGCTCGGAATAACTGTCCAACAGGAAAACTTTAAGTCCGTCTCTCTTGAATATTCAATAATCGCATTTTTCGCGACTTTTTTGAAGAGCGAAGAGAGAATGTACAGTATTTAATATTAAAACTTAAAAAATATTGGATTCCCTTGATCCCGAAGCTAATTTCTAGGAGAACCTTAGAAAAAAATTGTCAGACGATTAAAAAGATTTTTCTGCTTTATGGTTAATTATCTCAAATCCAAAAACCACAAAGTTTTATTATTGCAATAAATGAATATAATCATAATCGAAAGATGATTTTTGACAAAGTGTCGGCTTCCCAAAAAAAAATCGGTTTTTGTAAAAAATTTAAACACTTTAAAGTGGCTTAAAAAATTTAAGTAATTATTAAAAATCTTATACCTTCGATCACTACCTAACAAATATATCTTAAAATGTCGTATGAAATTTTCGACTTCGGAGAAATTCCCTCACCGACTCTGCAAACACGTTAAGACTTTTGTGAGCCAATTGCAAATACGCTCATATCTTCAAAACTTTGCCGTATAAACTTAAAATTTTCGAAGAATATTTTGAAATACATGTACAAGTACATTCGGTATATAAGCAAGAAAAATACACTTTTTGAAATTCTTTAGTGGACATATTACTTTTATAAATGAACATAGAGCGATTGTAAGAGAGAGAGAAGTGAATGACAGTTTTCTAATTTATGTCTTGTGCTAGGTAGAATCGTAATTCTTGAAACTTTTGTTTTTGAAAATTTAAAGATTTAAAGATTTTCCTTTGAAAATTACTTGTTTATCGTATTTACGTACTACTCGAATAAATTTTTCCATTAGTAACTAACTTTAGTAGTATATGATTTTAAGTTAATTGTATTTTGCATACATTATAATTATTAATAAATGTAAATTTTATAATTTTTATTTTTCTATTCATAATCAATTAGCCGAAGTTAATATAAGTTAAGAGGCTATTAACTACCTAACCAGCTTTTCTAATTATTATTATAGTATTTAAATGTTTAATTATTTTATTAGTGGATCAGAACATTTGCTGAGGGGCTTAATCCAATGAAATTGAACAATAATATTTACAAAGATAATAGCAACAATTATTGTATAAGTACTGCCTCACAGCTTGTTTTGCTTGTGTTGTAAATCTATATGTTAACTTATTGTGGGGCTAAGATTATGTCTTTAATGACTCTTGCTTGTTGAATTACCTAGAAAAGGTGGAAGAAAAACCTCAAAAGTAGAGATAGAGTTTTTTTAATGACCTAAAGTGAAGACTGAATTTCCATTGTCCCAAAAATATCATTGAATTCTTCTGCGCTTAATCACTTGCATTAGAAATCCGAAGTTTAACTTTAGGAAAATTTTTGTTAGGTGTTTGCTTTATGCGAATAAACGGGCTGCATATTAAGTTTCTATAAGAAAGCTATACCAATGTTCATACAGAAAACTCCCAGCATGTTCCGAAGCATCCATACAAATTTGCTTTTAATTATTTTGAATGTCACTTATTCCATTTTTTAAAGCTCCTTTAGGCTTTAGCAGATTTATTGGTTCAGCTGTTTTCAGCATTGATTTAATTGAAAAAGCCCCGTCAAGCTTTAAAAGATTTTTAATTACATTTTTATATAGACGCCAGAATAACCTTCAGTATCCGTAGATATATTAGCTCAATCGAGCTCCAGTATCTGGTTAGAAGCATTTCGAATAAACCTATCCTGGGAGAGGCTTATTAAAAGATTAGCGAAGTTTCATTCTTAACAGCTCAGATTAATTTCCACGTGGCATGGATCCCTATTACAGTGAATTAAGGGGTTAAATCCACTTGTGAAGTTCAAAAATATATATTTTGTATGTATATATGTATATTGAATTAACATATATTTGAGAAGACTCCCAAATATTTGAAGTTGACCCCGCAAAACGAAACAACAATTTTTGATAATAACTAAAATCTTTTAAGCCACACTAAAGTGTAAATTTCTGCACAAAAAACTTATTTTGGAGATGGCGCCATTTTTTTAAAAGTTTTTTTAAAAATTTTATTAGCCCTTCGATCATTACATAAATTTATCAACAGTAATGCTAACTTTTTTGGATTTGAATTTGAGATAATTTTAAACAGAAAAATCTTCATCACCGCCAGACACCGTTTTGAAAATCGGCTTCGGTAGCAAGAGAATCCAAAATTTTTCATAATTAGTCGCCCATCATTAAAGCATATTAAATACTGTAAATGCATATTTAAATGCATTTTTTTCTTAAACAAAATGCCAGATTCCTGAAAAAACTGTTGTTTTTTTGTTTTGCAAGTGAATATAACCACTTACTTGTACTTGGGTCGAATGCGAAAAATTTGTAGTAGTGATTATGCTTAGTCATTTCCATGTACCATAGTTATCGCTCTGAAACACGTGTTCTACATTTGCATTGCTTTTCCACTAAAATTTGCACTTTTCTATAACTCATTTTATTAATTTCTTGATAAAATTTACTTTTTTACATACGAGCAAATACATATTTCTATATGTACATACATATGTACTACATGTGTGCGCATATTTGCATAGTTATTGGCTACTGTTTGTTTTGACTTTCTACTTAAAAAGCGAATAAGTGACAGCGGTATTGTTTTTCCACATTCAAATTTACAAACATACGTGCATTTGTCTTATGGGTACATATTTGTATGCACATATGTCTACATGTAGTATGCATGTATTTATACGCTTGTCTATCGACTATGTCTTGCAATTAGCTCATTTCCACTTGTTTCGTTTTATTATTAAACACTATTATTCTTAGCAATCTAAATTTCAATACACATATATAGTACATATGTATGTACATACTTACCGACAATTATTGCTGCTATTGAATACTTATTATTGTTATTGTCGCGCACCGTCCGCCGCAAGCGCACATCCCCTGCCAATAGCACTCACGCTCGCACAGCCGTCATTTGCACTCGCCAATTTGAACGCATTGAGATTTTTGCATTCATTGCATACATACAAACACACACATACATACAGCTATACAAAGTTAGGGATGCAAGGGCGCAGCGGTGCTTAGGAGTCGGCATACATTTGCTATTTCGTCGGACTGTGTACTGCCGGCGCTCGCGAACTAGTCTCTATATATGTGCATATGTATATACCTACACGTATGTATGTATGTATATAAATATATATACATATAGGTACATATATATGTATGCCTGCACGTCTATTCAATGAATTTGTTCAGCTCAGTTGGGTTCATTTTGGGGTTTGAGTGCGAGTCTCTCCTTTCGTAATCAAACACTTTGGTTGGGGAAAAGCACGTGTTGCCGAAACGTGATAACAGCTTTGCAGCACGACAATAACAAATGTGCTGGAATGTGTGGCGTCGGCTGCTGTTGACGTTGACTACAACGCACTTGGCCGTTGGCAGTGACGCTAGCAGCGCTGCTTTTGTGCTCAGAGTGTGCTGCTCGGTTCTTGGCTATCTTGACACTGGCTGTTGGTTGGAATTTCGTTTTTCTTGTTGTTGTGTTTGTGTGCATTTTACACGAGCAACCACTGCTTGCATTTCATTGCTGGCGTTGCACCACTCCTCACAAATACCCGCGTCTGAGTTATGGGTAGTTTTGAGCGTTTGTGGGTGGGTGGCTCTGCATATATCAATCGTTAATTTTGTACGATTTTGTTGTTGTTTCTTAAAAAGTATAGACCCATGCAATTTTGTATTCCAATTATTGGTCACATTACTGTTCACCAATTGACAACGATGACGAGTTTATGGTGATGAATCGACGATTTATATTATTTTATGATACTCTTGTTTGTTTTTTTTTTTGTAGAAAATAGCAAATTACAATACTCGTTAATTAATGTTTTCAAATAGGTTTTTAATTACCATCGATCAGATCGAGCGATTTGATCTAGTTATCTATACAGATCACTGTCCGATCTTGATGAGGCCATGTTTATATACCCTGTACAGGGTTTATTAAGTTTGCCACGATATTTGTAACACCCAAAAGAAAACGTCGGAGACCATTTAATAATATGTGTATAACATATAATCAGCGTGACGAACTGAGCCGATTTAGTTATGTCCATCTGTCTGTCCGTGCCTTAGTTTATGAGATATCGATCCGATCTTCCCCAAGAAGCTGCGATCAAAATCCAGTCCTTGTATGGAAAACTTTTTTATTTCGGACCACTATTGCATATAACTGCCATACAGTGCAGCCGTAGTTAAGGTATTTTCTCCGACTTCCGCACACATTTTGGATTTTGCTTGTCATTTTATTATATAATATTATTTATTGGTGTTGATATGGAGCAATTTAGCACTTATACATGATTTAGTTCCGATGTAAATCCCGCAAGTTCAAAGTTGACGTTATGAACGAAAGAGAGGGAAGATGTTATTATGAAAGTTCTAATAGTTTTTCCTCTCATTCTTTCTTATAGGAACCATGATATTTGATTTCAATTTGTTGTGCTTTCGCAGATACCCAACATTTCTTTTATAACTTGAAATATATCTATTTCGTTTTTTTTTTTTTGTAATCGTGAAGTAGCCAAGGAACATTCTAGACTCAAATTTTACACTATCCAAGCTGCGTTTATAAAATATGTATAAAAGTTTCGAATTTGTGTCTCTGAAATCTGAATTATTCGACTAATTTTTGTATTTCCAGTCCCTAAAGTAAAAACTCCAATAATAATCATAAAAATTGCTGCTACTATTTTACAACAATTGTCTATTAGTCGACGATTTCAATAGTGCCAAATTCCTACACACCTTACATTACATAGTTGATGTACTAAAACGTGCGCATGCGCTTTCATGCGTCCAGTACTGATAAGCTTTTCTACTAATTAATATCCAGAAAAAGCACTTCGTTTGTTTGCTTCGAAAATCACCTGTACGGATGTGTGCACATTGCAGTATTCGCATGTCAGCAGGGTCGATTAGCGGGTCAGTTGATTGGCTGGTTTACTCGTTAGCGACTTGTCGCGTGTACTGCGAATGTGACTCACAGTTAGGGTGCTGTGTGGGCGCGTCGAAAAGTAGCACTAGCAAGTGAGCTAAAGCTTCGGCTGCCACAGGTACAAATTTATAACCTTTTCGTGTAAGCTTATTCAGCAAGTGATATTTTTTTCCCACTCTTAAAATTGTGGTTGGTTTTTTGCCGAAAGCTTAAATGTTAACGGAATTTTCCGATATTTTTTTTTGCGTTTGAACAAAATGTGGGAACAGGCATATACTTATATTTTTGCGTCGTATACTCGTATATATTTAAAACAGCGAATGACTTATGCTTTCATAATTAAGTACAAAATTTCATTTTAATAATTAATTATATAGAATCCAAAGGAATATATATTTGTGTTATATGAGAAGTAGGCGTGGTTGTAGTCCGATTTCGCCCATTTTCGCACAGTAAGTTAGGAATGTCCAAAAAATCTTATGCACCGATATCGGAAAAGACTTCCACAACCGTCTTCTAGTAAACCCTATTAAACCATCCCATATATAAAATCTAATGCCTGCGTCGCATTTATTTAAAATTTATAAAAACCGTTACATAAGAAGTGTGCGGAGTTATCATCCGATTTGACTTAGTTTCACAGTGCCGGAGAGAATAAGAAAAAAAATTGCTCTGAGCAAATAATAGTATTGCAGTTTGTTGTGGAGCTTAGCTATGGCGCTTTATAGGTTTTCGATTTACTGCGTTTTATAATTAGTTTTTGAATTTTGTAAGCAACCGAAAGCTACCTTTATAAAGTTTCTTTTTTAAGGCTGAAAGTTCTATTAATATTCATTTGTAAGTCTTTAAAAAATATGAAATAAATTTACACACCCACCTGTTATGACTTTCAGAAAATTCCCCACCAAATACCAATATTGCCACGACACTTTACGAAATCGCTCGGTTAAACCAAACACTTGAATCATCAATTAACTCCAAATCATCGCTGCAATTATAGACAAAAATTCAAAATAATACTTTGTAGTTAATTATGATGATAATTGGCTGTCACGTTTTATTGAATGGTCACGTGAGCTTATGCGCAGACGTAAATATATATACTATATACATACATAAATAAATAATAAAATAGAACTTTTAGAAAAATGAAAAAGGTTTACATCACAGTTTTACTATTGTTTTGTAAGTCGAGTGGCTGTGAAATAATTCTATTTTGGTGGAATGTTGGCACAAAAATAGACATAACATTAAATTGGAGTCGACGTGCAATACGTACACACACAAACATATAATTGTGTCAAATTTCAAATCATGTACAACTTATATATGTACATATTTATAGATATATATTATACATATTTATGAAAATCATTGCTGATTACATACAAATAGTTGCGACGATTCATATTTCCTATCAGTTGCGGAAAAACGTGAATACACCAGTAATATGTAAGTACAAGAAAAAAAAAAATTAAATGACAACAAAAACGTAAAGGAAAAAGTCGCAACAACATAAAACGAATTGGAAATTTAATACCGCTGCGCCAAGAAAGGTGTGTGCACATGTTAGTAACTCACTGGTTGTATGTATGTAGATAGGTGGGTGCTGCATGTACGTGTATATTGTAATTAGCTGCATTTGATATCTTCGACAAAGACGGAATTGGAAATCAACTTGATGAGTTTCTTCGGTTTAATTAATAAAAATATTGAAGCATATAATTCATATCCACCTGGAAGCGAAAAATATATACGTCTGCGTTGTTGTATTGTAGTTTGGGGTGTTTGCTCAAATAGCTATGTGTATAATCTTTGTATAGTATAGTGTATCCAAATATTACCTAATACTTATGTAAGAAATTTCATTTTAATCAAAATATAGTTGAACTACAAATAATTATTATATATAAATATATAAATAATAATTATTTTAATTTTATTATTATTATAATTTTTTTGGTAAATTATGTAATTTGAAGACTTTGGAATATTTGGGAAAATAAAAAAAAAACCTTCTGGATAAGCGCCAAAGTTTCTAACGCGGTCCAGATCTCATAAGTTGGCGCATGTTTCTGTATTGGGTTATAAGAGACAATATTTATAATGTTTTGAGAGTTAAACTCTTCACTTGAAAGAACAATTTGGAAAAATATTTTTCTTATAGGTGGAAAGTATCGAAAATATAATCCAAAAATTTTAAAATATATAAATCTTACAGAAAATGAAGTCACACGAGCCGTGGTGTGGAGCCATTTTATTGCTCCTAATTTATGCAGCTGCGGTGTTATTTTGTCTTCAATTTAGGGAATTTTGCTGAAATAAAATTAATTTATTAATTACAGTTATCTTATAGTAGAACTTTGAAATATATATGTATATGTACACATTTGTTTTTTTTGCTTAGCCTGGGGTAAAATCATTAGATTATAAAAAAAGGAAATTTTTTTTAAATATATAAGAGAACATAAGAGTGAAGCAAAAAAAAAATGTTTTTTATGCTTAGCCTGGGGTAAAATCATTAGATTATAAAACAAGGAAATTTTTGGACAAAAAAAAATATATTTTTTTAACATCTAGAGGCGGCGCACTCAGTTTTAAAGTAAATTTTCGAGTTAAATTTTAATTGCGTAAACATTTTTTGATAAGTGTTCCAGAAGCTGTGGGCTCTTTCTGGCCAATTAAAAGTTATCAACTTAAAAAAGTTTTTTCTGGTCATTATTGGAGTTTTAAAAAATATCTTAAACGACAGCCGTTAATCGTTAGAATAAATTTTGAGTCAAAATCCGTCACATTCGGTAATTTTTATATAAATCTAAAGAGTTTAAACCAAAAATAATTTTTTCTTGTCCAAAAAAATTGTTTACTCGAAATTTACTTTAAAACTGAGTGCGCCGCCTCTAGATGTTAAAAAAATTTTTTGTCCAAAAATTTTATTTTTTTATAATTTACAGATTTTACCCCCCCGCTAAGCAAAAAAAAATTTTTTTCGCTCCACCCTAATTTATATACATATATATATTTAGTTTAATGTTTATTATTTGCAATCAGCTCACATTGCTGTTATCAGCTGTGATCCCAAGCCAGTATCAGACAGTTCTGAAAATTACAAAGATGTTTGAGCTTTGGACTGTGTGCTTACACTTACGCACAAACTATGGCTTTTATGAAGAACGAGACTGTGTATTCTCAGCCTCTACAGCTTAAGTATTTCGAGTAAGCCGCAGCATATCTTCGAAACGAATTTTTTTTTCTGAAATCAGGGTGGACTTCATTATCTAGAAGTCTAAATATTCTACAACCTCGGTTCCAATTCACTATCTGCTGATACCAGTTTTAGATTATATATGAGATATACGTATAACGAGTTTGCTAACTACTAACTTTTTTTAAATTTGGTTGAACCGAGAAATTCTTTTTAGACCAAGTAATCCATTCTCGTGAAGAGAAAACACGACACATTGATACGTTTGATATGTTTGCAAAAGCAATGCCTGCATATACAATATTTATATTTGCACGTATATAAGCTAAATGTGCCCACAAATAAAAACGAAATCCCTTTCCCTCCTCATGTTGAAATACGTCAGCCACTTTTGAACGAATGATGTATTTTTAAGAGTAGCTTGTTGTTGTCCGACGTACTTTGAGATCAGATCAAGGTTGAAATCAACTAGATGATTTGAAGTTAGAAAAACTATTAAATAAATAAGTCATATATATAGATTCTCGTTCGATTTCTTAACGTTTTTTTCTTTACTTTTCAACTTTTTCAACATTTTTAGAAGCACGGTAGTTATATGGAATAATCGGTTTTCATTTGCTTTAGTAGATTTTATATGCTTTTCTCTCACTAAAAAATTAATAAAATGAAATAAATATACATGTGTACAAATGTATTTTGAAATACTCTCGAAACATTTCGATGCCATATGATCATCAAACACACACACACACACACAAGTCTACAATAGCACTCGATCAACAATAATTCTCTACTCACTCTTAGCTCAGCGCAATTGCATCGCAATGAATTGCATTAAAGTAATTTCCAAAACACTTCTAGGCACTCTTTTCTATAGCTTACTACGTCAGCTAGTAGTTATTTACATTGCCGATCGCCAATTGTAGCGTATTTGTTTTTGTGCTCGTATCTAACAGCCCCTTCGTGTGTTCAGCAACACATCTATCTACACATTTACAGTTGCCGTTGTGATTACTTTTATTGCCATTACTACCACACTCTGCTCGCTGCTGCTGCTGCCTCATTTCTTCTCAACGCTTGTCTACGGCGCCCGCACAGCCCGAAGCGTCGCCGTTCAGGCTGAGTAACCGATGTCGGGTGTGTGTATGTGTGACTGTGATTTGGGTTGTGGAGGAGGTGTGCTGAGTGTGTCGGTTACACGTGCTTAGAACGACTGGCGCTCCCAGACAATGGGCTTTAGGTCACAGCGAAATCCACGTGACTTGCTGCGCCGACAACGCTGCTGCTTGATTTTTCACTACAACGACGTCGCTGTGCTGTCAACGCGAGCGCTGCATTAGCTCATTGCCATTGCATTGCCGAAGCGCCTAGGTGAGTGGTGTATACTTGTAAGCTACGCTGTCTCTCTTCCACAAAGCTTTCGGCGCGTGGCTGAGCCGTTAGCGCTGGCATTTATTTGTGTGCGTTTATTATTGTTATTTGTTTGGCTTTATGTTGGCTTGTTGCATTCTGTAATGTCATGTTATTTATGCGCACATTTTGTTGTTGTTGTCAATTAGCCGCCACTGCAGTTTCGGTTTTGTGTGTTGTTGGTTTTGTGTTTTATATTTTTGTTTTTGTTCCTGTTTTTGCTTTGATTAAAAATCGAAAATTCACATTGTCGTCATCGGCGTTCGGCAGTTGCCGCAATGGTCTTATTCGGCTATTTCCATCTCACATGTGGTAGACACGTATCCGGCTCTGCTAGCCGTTTTAGCTCACGTTTGTAATGTGAGAATCGCGGAAAGAATGCCGTTAAGTATGTACGCGGCGCTTTCGTGCGTTTGTTGTTTGCGGAATTTTCCCTGTTTTTTTGATGAGTTTGTAAATGACTTGAAAGAAAACAATTTTTTATGCTGCCAATTTATTCACGTTGCAAGCTCTAAAGCCGATCGCACGTCAGCGCTTCTCGAATTCTTTTGTAGCGCGTAGTCGTTTACAGCTATTTTTGTATTTTCATGTTTTTTTTTTTTTTGGTATTTTTGTACTTGTTTATTGCTTTTATTTGTGCAAATGTACTTCTAATGTACTAATTTTTGTATATGTTGAACCTGGTTTTCTCACAATAATTGGTGGGAAAAGTTAAAAATAACGATCCACTTTTATTTTTAGTCTGATATTACAGTTGGTTTCGAAGGCATCACTTTCCCTGAGTGCGTTAGACGTTGGGAACATAATGAAAGTAAAGTTTTGGTGGGAGTTTAGCATTTTATTTACAAGAGCATTACATTATAGACATGTGTTTGTTGTTTAATTAGATAATTTTACTCATATTTCAACTCAGTTCTATATTTGACTGATACAAAAATTACAATATTGTTAGTATAATATACCAGTTGGCTTTCACCGTTTGATAGTATGAAACTGAATTCTAAGGAAATCTTCCGTTGAATCATTGGTCTAATAATTATGGAAGTATTTGATGGAGATTTGAGCTTAGCTAGATTATTACTGTATTGCCAGAGCATATATGTTGGTGCTTTAGCACTTATATCTAATTTGTGTGCTGTATGCTATAGGTGTCCGCTCTGTACAATTTCTTCGAAGATTGTACCGTTGTCCAAATCAATAATTTGAACCAAATTGTGTGATGATATTTCGTCAAATAAAAAAGCTATATGCTATAGTCGCTTCGATATCGAATGAGCAGCCTATTGGGGAGAAAATGACGTTTGCGAAATTTCAGAACGATATCTGAAAAACTGAAGGACTCGTCGGATATATACAGACAGACGGACGAACATGCCTAAATCGATGCCTCGGTTCCTCATGCTGATCATTTATATATATATTTTATAGGATCCCGACATTTCCTGCTGGGTGTTCCAAACTGCGTGGCACACTTAAGATAGACTGTAAAATAATCAAGGTTGATACGTCAGATAATAGTTTTCCCCAGATATTGTGATTATGATAATATTTTGGAGTAATATGTATCCCGTTAAAAAACAAAGAAAATAATTTGGAAACCTGAAGTAAGCATGAGATGATTTCAACTCATCGTCTTCCAGGAACAACTAGCAGCCGGATAGTCATGAGCAATGAATAGTCAAATCCCCGACATATGTGGGATGGAGAACCCTGCCGCGCACGAAAAACACCCTAAACCTCCTATGATTTACCTCGCACCAGAAGGAACTTGCAACGGCGCACGTGCACAATTTGACTTTTGTTTTCTTGATTTCTCGAATGTACTCACAAGCCGTCTTATTAATCGGTTTGATGTTGTTGAACAAATGAAGCGCCATACAGGTCCAAATCGGCTTATGAATTTTATTATTATAAAGCAGAAATATGGTCGAAAATATGCCATAAATATTTACAGACTGGCGACAGCACACAAAAACAGTCCTGTATTCCTTTATCCACTAACTTACAGCGTCGACCAATTATTTGAATGATATTCTATGAAATTTTTCACAAGTGGCGCATACTTTTAGAATCTACGATTAAATATACCTCAAGCAAATTGCACTAAATATATAAAATATTAAATCTAACTATATGTTTATATATTCTATCAAGAACTCAACTCTAGCTAGGGATAGAGTTCGGGAAGAAGACTTGTGAGTGATTTATATTGTTTTCATCTTCATAAAAAAATAATCAATTTATTTGTTTTCAATTGTGTTTACAAATTGTGTGCAGTTTATTTCAATTAATTTTTGTTTAATAAAATCTTCGTGACCATTGCAATCACACCAGTTGCTGCGTGTTTCGGTGTTTCAGTGATTTGTGTGCGCATGAGCACAACGAGTGGCCAGTGATATCGCCTGCAACACGACAAATCCAAAGCCTCCCACAGCACACACAAACACACTCAAGTACATAAATACATTAATGTATGCGTTGTAACAACCCCTAAATGTAAAAGACACGCTTTTGAACTGATTATGGACAGCCTCTTTTGCATATTAATTGTTGTACTTTGCACGGCTGTGCTGCTATGGCACTCATATTATGTCGGTTCTATGCGTTGCTATGCACTCGTTGCTCTCCAATATGCTATCATACCCTACTTGGTAGCTTTTCAAACGCTTATTAGACATTATAGTTATTTTTCGCAAATTATTCCATGTGTACAGTGTGTCAAAAAAATATACAGATATATACACACTAACATCTATACATATGTATGTATATGCATAGCTGCAGTTTTCTATGCATTCTAATGCAATGAGCGCTTTGCCTTTCCGCCGCGTTCATACAACTGTACACCTCATACAAATATACATATAAAATATCACCGATCACCCCACCATCGCTTCGCTTGCCTACCCTTTTATAGGGCTCAATAATTTTTTTGCTTTGTTTCGGTTCTTATTTGTTTGTTGGAGCAAAGTGGCGCTCACGTTGTACGGCCGCATGCTAGCTGGTAACGCTGCCACTGCTGTGCTGCTGCCGCACTGAACGTTGGGTGGTTTGCAGCTGCACTGCGCTGCGCTGCTTTGGCGCTCCAGTGCTCCAGCGTTCTGTTCTACCCTGTTGCCTTACTACCAGCCCGTCGGCTGAATTGGCTGCTTGCCGCTGACGACCGCTGCTCGCTGCCCTGACAGGCTGATAGCCCGTTTGGGTGACTACGACGAGCCAGTGCTAGTGCTAAGGCCGGCATTTGGTCGTTTCGCGTTCACTTTGACGAATTGACGTACGGTAGTTTGGCCGTTTAGCGGAAAATTACATCGCGGAAAACACAAGAAACTTTTGCTTGACAAATATTCAAGTGCCGTCGCCAATTATGATCGGCCGATAGTGTTGAGGCGCTCGAAAATAAACGTTCTCGAAACAAACGAGTTTATGTGTGTGTATTTGTGCACTGGTTAGAAATCTCGAAACTCGAAACTCGCATAGAAGTGATGGCTTGACTAAGCAACGGGTCAGCGGTGGAAACGTTTTATGTAAAATATGAAATATATTATTTAGAAAAGAAAAAAATGCATACATCTGAATATCGCAAAAGCGATTCAGTGGAAATGTAATTGTGTATTGTGCTCGAAGAATTATTCGAAGAATTTTGTGTGGAATAAATCGTAATCTGGGAACCTAGTGTGTGTGATTTTCGTGCGAATTTTACTAAAGTAGCGTATTCCAGCTTATAAAAACAGAAAAAATAAGCAATTGCTTTGATTGGCCGATTGGCAGTGAAAATATATATCAGTTTTGAAAAAAAAATTTTAAAATATTAAAACCAAACAAAAAAAAAATATTTGAAAAAAATATTGACAAAAGTTTGAAAAAGATTTGTAAAAATGATTTTGAAGACATAAAAAATAATTAAAGTCAAAACAATTTTGGTTTTCAAAACGCAATATGTTTCCAATACTGTGTAAATTTATGTTTATTGTGTAGAAATGAGATATTAATTCATTACAATTAAAACAATATTTTTTTGAAATAAAAATGAAAGAGATACTTTTGAAAGTAAAAAATATTGAAGAAAATGAACAGAAAAAGTGAAATATTGAAAAAAGAAGCTTTCTATTAACATCTATATATTTGTATATTATAAGCTACTATATGAAATATATATTATATCTGCTTTGTAGACAAAAAAATAAAAAGAATTTAATAAAAATGTTTTATATGAGTTGAATAATTCTTTAAAAGTATAAACAAAGCCAAAACTTTCATATTGCCAAAGTGCAAAATATATAATGCTAATAGAAACGTTAGTAAAATGAAATCTCAAATTGTTGAATTTATTTTTCGAAAAGTGTTATATAAAATTTGTCCGTTCAAAAAACTGCGAAAAGTGTAAACAAATATTATTGTTGGAAAGTGAAAACTAATATTTTCAACATTTTCGAAAATATAATTTTGAAATTAGCAGTAAAAAACTAAATATTTATAGAGCGACGACAAATTTCTTCAATTTTAAGTAGTGAAATAAATAAGACAATAATAAAAAAAGGTCAAAATAAAATTTTCGAAAATTGTATTCGAAAGTAATATTCGCAAATAAGTGTAAAATGTTAAGAAATCATTACTTCGATAGAAAACAGTATTTACTATCTGCTCAAAAGTGTAGAAATTAAAATTTTAAATTTCAAAATCAGTATTCGTAAAAAATATTCGAACATAAAAAAAATTAAAATTTTAAATTCTGAAAATAATATTCGAGCAGCAATTGTCGCAATTGAAAAAAATAATAATAAGCTAAATATTTAGAACACAAAATCATACTACTTTGAACTCTCGAAAGAACAAAAATTATATTATTAATAAAAAAAAGCGTCGATCACACACAAAATCGCAAAGCTAAAGACCAACTTCAAAACTTGGCCTAAATTTTCATCGCTGGAACGAAACCACTTCATTTAGAGAATTGAGTGCAATTATTTAATTTGCATATCATCCAACTCTTAAGTTATGGATCGTTTTTGGAAAAAGTTTTTGCTATGTTTTGTTTTATGTTCAGCTTTAAGCAAATGCGAATAAGCAAATATACATACATACATAGAATCATATATACAATCATTCTAAAACTAATATAAGCCATTGTAACGAATCGCGGTATACAAATCATGTATCATAAATCATCAACCTTTCCGAAAGCCATTTTAAACAAATTTTCATAGCCAGTTTACGTCAGAAAGAAGTAAACAAGATCATTTGCAAATAATAGTTCAGAAAAGAACGAAGCTGCAACGTGACTACAACTACGACACTTTTTTTATCGTTTTTTTTCTTGTTTTTGTATGATATATACTACTTCTCGGGCTACCCGCTTGGCAATCGTTTTAAACAGATATTCACGCTTATATAGGCAGATTTTTGTATTGCTTTACAAACAATAATTTTTTTTTATTTGTAGCGTGATTTACTGTTTGCTGTGGTTTTCGTTGTTT